CCCCAAAACCCCAAAACCCCAAAACCCCAAGTAGCTGATAAAGTGAATTCTTAAGAGTCTATAAAACTAGATTAATTACTTAAATAATTTGCAAAAAAACAAATAAATTCTAAAATAATTCTTTGTAATTTTCTATTAAATTATAATTGGTAAAATATGAAAGACGATATAGAAGCTAATAAAAAATCTAACAAAAATAGTAGAACACTCTCAAAGTTTATTTAAAATTTTGACATCTATGGATGACCAATCTTATTTACTTATAAAAATAATGAAACATTTAAAACGACTATTGGTGGAGTTATGACAATTCTTACAAAAACTGGTATTTTGATTTTCTTGTTAATAGAGCTAGTTAATGTGATAACTTAGTAAAGCACTATAAAGAATTCTTATTACATTAGAGATCTGGCAAATGATTTGACAGAATACGAATTCAATTAAAACAATTTTGATATTGCAGTTTCACTTTCATACATAAATGATTTTAATTCAACTATCAATAATGAGATGCACAAATATGCTTACGTAACAGTGTCCTAACTTAAATTCAATTACAAATTATTAAACGGAAAGCTTATTTGGCAATAAATCGAAGAATAATTTGAACTAATTAAATGCCCACCTGGTAGATTTTTAGGTGAATCAAAAATTACTTGAACTCTAGGAATAGAAAATTAGTTTTTATGCCCAAAGAACTTCTCTCTTAAACTATAGGGAAGTTTTACTAGCCCATCTGCCTAGTTTCTCAGAATTAAGGTCAATAAATGTGATCCTAACTGACTCAAATTAACTTATCCTAATGAAAAATGTGCAAATTAAACTGAAATTGATAGGATATTTGAAAATTTACAAATATTTGTTCCTTTTATCAACTAGTATTTTGATGACTTTGATCATTCAGAAAATCCCATTAAATCAACTATTCAAAACAATTACTTTACAACTTAGACTAATCTATCTCAGAACTATCAAATTAAGTTGAGTACAAATAAAGCAATTGTCAGAGATTCTTATCTCTCATCAAGCATTTAGGAGAAAAGAATGACTTTTTATTCCATTAGATTAGATGGTTCATTTTTAAAGCAAGAAAATCAAGATTTTGCACCAATTCAATTGACACTAGCTCTTGATGAAAATATTAAATAAACTATTAGAGAGACCTACACAATAGCAGATGCTTTATCATCCACTGGTGGATTTTTGGAGATAATTCATTTAATAGCTATTATATTGATTGGAGGGATTTAGTAAAAACTATACTACTTTTCAATAATTAAGGATTTGTTGATTTGTGAAGAAAGTACCAATGAAAAGAATAAGACTGTAAGTATAGGAGATTAAGATGAAAAAACTATCAATGTAATTAGTTAAAGAATTGAATCAGGATATTAATCTAGACTACAATAAAACTATTAGGATATAATGTCCTCTATAAAAGCACGAACTAGGTTCAAATATAAATTTATAGATTGGTCCTCATATTGGATCTCTAAAATCTTATGCAGATCCAAAATTTCTAATAGTAGACTTAAATTTAGGATGTTCAAATAAGGGCAGTAAAAAGTTGATAGTAAATTTGAAATTGTAAATTTATTTCAATTGATGAGAGTAAGTAAGCTGATGGCTGAGATTTACCTAAATAAATATCAAAGATACCTCATGCCTTACTTTAACGATAGACTTATCTCTCTTAATTAAAACTAAGAAGAGTCAAATGATTTGATCGAAGATGAATAAATTAAGAGTTGGCCTAAAATCAAAGAATTGCAAAGAAATACAATCGATAAGTATCTAAGAAAACTTATTTAGCATTCTTAAGAATCATAGATTGATCGAAGAATATTAAAGAATCTTATGCAAGTAGAGGATTAAGCCTTAAGCTCTACATTTTAAAATATCAATGAATAAAATAGTTTTAAGGAGTTTGCTAGTTTTAATTCGCCAAAATAATTTGATGAAGATAAATCTGAAAAGACTGCCCATTTAAACAAGAAAGATTAAGTTAAAGCCTTTTATTCTACATAAAGAGGAATTAATTTAGAGATCAATAAAAACTAAAATAATCCAATAGGGTATCTATCTAGACATTAGAATCAAACACGAAATAGTTAGAGGCAGACATCAGATTAGGTATAAAATTAAAACTTAAGTTTAATCCATATCAATTAAAATGAAGACGATTTAATCTTACAAGAGCTAGATAATGAGGAAGTTAGATATGATTGAATTAAAAATTAAAAAAGATTAAAAAGTTGATATTGGATTCTATTAAGCTTGATTTTTTCCTAAATTAATTTACTCTCTCATATTTGAGTAATATTATATTTCGGGGTTTTGGGGTTTTGGGGTTTTGGGG